AAGTCCCAGAACAGGAGAGAGGCCAAAGGCCAGGGCTTACATGTGGGTGAGATCCAGGCTTTGCTGCAGGGAGTGTGAATGTACTGCTAAGAGTATGACACTTGGCAAGCTGGTCTGTGCTGACTCTTAAGCACAGGGTAATGACATGGAAGTGCTTCTGTGGCAGCTGAATGACTGCCAACAAGGCAGTGAAAGCTGGACTCCTAGTACTCCTCTGACACTGCTTTATTAGCCCAGTTTATTGTAGAGATATCCAGGAGTCAAACAGAACAGAAGAACCCAACAGTACTCAGTGCTAACATAGATTAATAGCAACCTTCTACCCTGATGGAACAGTAATTGTCACAGGCAAGGCAGGTACAGCGCTGAAAGGTCAGACGAAACAGTGATGCAATGCTTTGTTCTTCAGTGCCCTGGGAAGAGCTGTGTCCCTCCACTTCCGTCTGGGGCTCACTTCACAGAAGAAGGGAGAAAAAAAGACAAAAGAAAATGTGTTTGGAGGAGAGCAGGAGGTTGGGAGTGTAAGACTTCATGGTAACTGAAGGGTTTTCAACAGACAGATGCAAAGAGAAAGGGAGAGATTCCAAGGGGGCAGGCAAAGACTGAGGGATGACACATAAGGTTAGGGCAGTACCATGATGAAGTGACAGCGTGAGAAGGAGAACACTGAAAGGACCTGAAGGTGGGGAAGGTGGGAGGTGGAATGGAGACCTAGAGTCCATCAGAAAAGCATTTGCCTATGGACTTGGGGAGAGGGGATAGGGCTGGAGAAATGAAGTCCAGAAACAGAGCAGGAGTAACCAAGAAAAACATCTGAGAAAACATCTGGATTATGTCAGGTGGGAGAACATACAGAGCAATGATTTGCTTTGTAAATAGGTGAACATTTGTTAGTGAAGGATGACTCCAACAACACAATTAATAGATTCTGGTTTTGCCTCTAGGAGTTATAAATCTTTGTGACCATTCTACTTGTGTGAAAAAATTGTGTCTTGATCATTTCCATTTTGAGTCCAAAGCTCACTGAGATAGAACACTTCTCTCAGGGGGTTATCACAGAGATGGCCTCTGCCTTCCTGCCAAATCTCTGCAAAGCCTTGAATAGTTGAAAAGCCTGCTTTACAAGTCAGCTGGAGTTTTGCCTGGCAAGGGATAGTAGCTTAGCTTGAAAGACCTGGAAGGCAACAGTGTCCAATTGCCATGATTCAGGACAGAGCATTTTAAGGCAAAATGTCAGTGTTCACAAGCTGATGAACTGTCCATGCAAAACAGGCGTGGAAAAAGGACTCGTCCAAACAAACTTTGCAAGCTAAACTAGTCCTGAAATATTCAGAACCTGCAAAGCAACTTCACATCCCAGCCTTTAGAGCTTGTCCTTCAACAGCCTGATCAAATGAAGCATCTCCCATTCTTAGAAATCTCCTCTCTGTGAGCTCTGCCACGTTCCCTCTTTGCCTGAATTTAGCTAATCCACAAAGTATCCAAGACTGACTACAGAACTCTCAGTAGGATGGGGGAGTTGACTGATGCTTTCCCTGCTCTGTTACAGTTTCCTTTCTTTGGCATTTTTATTAGCAGTAGGTGTCCCAAGCCCAGGCAAGCATTGTGTATGAATACACAGATAGGAGTGAGATGCAGTTGAGTTTGTTGCTTCCTTAATAACTGTCTGCTTGCAAAAGCAGTAACTAGCAAAGTAGACATAAAATTCAATGCTGCTGAAGTCCCAGTCAGCTATGTCAGTGTAGGCACAACAAGCAAATGTACAGGTAGCCCTGAGCAAGAAAACAGTGAGAAGTGGCTCATTGCTCCACAGTGCTTTAGACCAGCAGTGGAAAGAGAACAGACGCCCCAGCTGCAAACTCACTTGTCTAGTGGTAGTTAGCAAAGAATTGACAGGCTGTGAAGTGAACTGCTACCCTGGATTCAGAGGCTTCTCATCAGGTGGTCAGGGCATGAGTGTCTCACTATGAAAAAGGTTTTTGTCACAGTCCCACTGCAGATGAACCCATTGCATTGTCAAAGCCTACAAACGATTCCGATATGGCAGTGAACTACTTTGGAGGGTAAAATCAGCCATTCTTAGGTTTCTAAGCCTGACTCCAAAAGTCAGGACTTGTCATTAGAATTGCCAATAGCACCAAGACATGTGCCTTCAGCCAGCATTTCTGGGCACACAGGCAACCCTCTAAATGGATACTGATATTTTTCACAGTCAACACTATGCAGCTTTAGACAACATCAGGCTCCAGTGGTGAAGCACATCCATCTGCTAGAAACCTTCATAGTGGTCACATTTTGTGCATCCCTGCAAACTGCTTGCTCTTTTCCTGAGCCGCCTCACCTGAAGAAAAGAGGCCAGAGATTTTTTTCTGAGTCAATATGTTCTTGGAGAGTAAAAGCACATGTGAAGGGCAAAGGAAGAGTGAAAGCCTGTCAATATATGCTTTCTGTTTGAGCCTGGCATTTTGACATCTCTCTTGGCCAGTTCATTTAGATTAAATTATGTACCTTCTCAAGCAGCAATGATTCACAAACATTTACTCCACTCCCAGCTGACATCCTTGTGCTGGGGCAGTACCTCAGCTAGTCTCTCTGGACTCTCCATCTGGGTGCCTCATCAGCCACTTGTCATGGTTCAGTTTGTATGTTGCCTTCCTCTTCGGCCTTTCCTGAAGGCAACACCCACACCCTCTGGGTCCTACCAACACAATCCCTTCTGCCAGCTGCTCAGTGAATGATTGGTATTGCCTCCTAATTCAGCCTGCTTCTCCAGTCCCTTCCTCCCCGTAACAAAGCAGCTCTTTACCTCAAGTGTGGCAGTAAGGATCACCTTGCCAGTTGGCCTGCCACTGCTCTTCATACTCCAGAGGGGAAACTCATTAACCTCACCTCTGAAGACCTTTCAGTTTAACCCAGATACACATGTGCGGGTATGTTAACTTCTCACACCTGATTCCCTGTCCTGTCTGTTTTTTGGGAGAACAAAATGTCTGGATATGTCAAAATATTTTAAGTCGGAGTCAATTTGTTTTCAAATTATATCTGTCTGTGGTACCATATGTCATCTTTCTAGAAGTAGTGAACTTTAACAAGAGTGCATACGCCATGACTACAGCCAGCCACAGGCATCCTGTGATGCCACACAGCTGCTTAATTCAGTTAGCCACTCTGTACCATAGACACATCAATTCGAGAAGAAAGTATGAACTTCATGGTAAGGTGAGGAAACTGCAAGCTTATGGGCCTGTACTGTTAACACTATTCTAATAAACATTGCAACTTGGGAAAACCAGGCACAAAGCAAAACTTTTTAGTGGTATTTACTTTTTTTTCCTTGGAAAATGTTGGCAAAATGGAAATTTACAAGAAAAGTCACAATGCTGAAATTCACATCTTCATCTTAAAATCATTTGTAAGGAGAACTTATATCTAACTTCATCTTACAGGTGACTGATAGCCGTGCCTTGTGGTATCCACTTATGACTATGGTATGCTGCCACTTTTGAGAGAGCAAAATGACTCCTAGCCTCCCAAAAACACATGTGGTTTGATTCTTTTGTTTTCTTATCTCTCTGCTCAAGACTCCCTGATTCCAGTGAGCTCTAGAGTAAGACTTCTCTTATTAATCCTCCAAAATTTTCTTTTTAGCCCTCAAGACTTACCATGGGTAATTTTGTCCACTTCAGGTATTTTCTCTATGCTCATTCCTAAGTCTCTTTCTTCCAGACAGGCCTCTTCCCTTTTACCCATATTTTAACAACTTGTATAAATGATAAATTACTTTCTCATCCTGAGCTGCAGCATTGCCTCTGTGTTTTGCGGTATGAAGGGCATCCTTTTTTTGTTTTCTGGCTTTATTTCTTCTCTCTATGCTTACACAACAATATAACTGCTTGGAAATCACAGCGTTTCTGTTTTGATCAAATCATTCATCCAGTCATTCAGACTTGTTCATGCTGGATTGAGCACAGATAAAGAAGATTCCCTGTCCGAGCTGCTTTCTGGGAGGATGGACGGCACCAATTAACCTGTGGTGCCTTGCACCCCACTGAAGTTATACAGGACTCCCAGTTTCTCAGACCCTTTGCCTACAGATTCTTTTCAGGCATTCCTATTGCAATGACATGCATACTGAATACTTGAGGAATGAACATACCTTAACTTCCACAGGATCATGACCTCACTTTTTTTTAACTTCTGTGATTAGGAGTAACCCTCTGTTGCAGAGAACTTGGCTTGCAACAGCACCTGATGTTTTTTTTCTTTACTTTTCCATTTACACACTAGCAGGATACTGGCACAGGAATGACTGCACACAAAAAAGAATGTTAAAAAAATTGATCTTGTGAGCTGACTTGTCTGACAGGAAAGAACTTCGCATGCTTAATTGTTGCTGTCAGATGGCTATGATCAATCTACTTGCCTTAGATTTGTTCACTCAGAATACTCTCAAGCAATTCTATCACTTGAAGCAGTGCTTATCTCAGGGTTCAGATGTTTTCTGGCAGAGGTGTTAAAACCACATGGCATCCATTTCACCTGCTGCAGAACTAGTCCTCAGCCAAGAAACTGAAGTTGTTTCATCTCTGCATATTCTAATCAACTCAATCAGGTGAGCACCAGGCAATAGCTAAAGCAGTTGCTTTAGCAGGATGAATATTCTTTAACCAGCGGGTGAAGGGCTGAGTGAATTCCTCCCCCTGCTCCATGATGGCCATCCTGTGTCTTGCCTTCCCTCTCTCTCTTGCACTCTTATACATTCCCCCAGAGGCAAGGGTGCGGGTGACTGGAAATGTGAAGTCACCTGATAGGATGCTGCCTGACTCTCTTCACTCTGCACAGCACTAGCTCTCCTTGCCTAGTGGTAGTGAAAGCAACTCTGCTCTGCTCAGCAGGCTGCAGTTTGCTGCAGATACAAAACTGAAATCCATCTTCCTACCGCCTACTTGTCATCCAGGGCTGTTGTATGTCTTCTTGCCTTCTGTTTCTTTCCCCAAACCTGTGTTTTCAAAAGGAAGCTCTATTCTGCTGCTGGCAATGCATCCCGAGAGGTGGCTCTGTTGGTGTTACCCTGCTTTCTGTGTGTGGACATTCGTGTTCACATCCTTGATTAAAGGTAGGCTCTCTTTGATATTAGCCTCTAAAATGTTTTCTGGTCACTGTCTCTGCTTCTGTTTTCCTAAACTGATGTATACCTTTTACCAGCTATTTCTAACCTGAAATCTTTAACATTTCAACAGTATTTTAAGAGGGCTAAAACAATACTAGTTTTCTCACATAAAACTCTTCATTTTTGTTTGATAACTGAGTGAAGAACTGTTTCCAGCAAACAATTAAAATGGAATAGGAGTTCTAGTAATTTCATTTGGTGCTTGAATTTGCAAGTGCTTAAATAATGCAGGCAAAAGATGTGCATGTTCATTACTCACATCTCTGCAAGTGAGAACTTGATCTATTGCTGTTCACCATTGTTTGTGATCTATCTTTAAATACACTGGAGTGATTTCCATGAAAAAGTCTCTCTGAGGTTTAGCAGGATTTTTGCTTTTAAGACACTACATCTCTTTTGAAAGTCTTACTTCTGCTGCTGACCGAGAAGTGAATGAAATACAGTGTTTGTGCTAGCAAGGCATAAGGTATTGTCTTAAAGCAGCACCAATGGGATGAGAATCTGTAACTGAAGTTTGAAAATGAAAGGCCTGAAGACTTGTCTGGTTTCGTTGCTTTATTTTAAAGCATGTGTCTGTTAAGAAGCCAGTAGAAAAATTTCAAATGAAACATGATTTTAGACTCATCAGCTTTAGTTATGAGACTTTGGTAAGGAACTCGTGTTGCCATAGTAGTTTACTTCTAGTGACAGTGCAACGGGTGATGATAACAAAATTTGAAAATGAAATTTCTATTTCCTTTTTGAATGGCACAATACATGATGTTCAAACACACAAACTTTACAGACATTCATGTGTCTTCTCTGGGTGATACTTAAAAGACGAAATGAAACATTAAGTCGAGGAATTTTTACGAGATTTTTTTTCCCGTGCATGTAAGTCACCAGTAACCAACATTTCAGTTTGTAATTATGATAATCCCTGAAATCTGAGGATGCTTTGTATCACCTTAGAGGTGAAATGTAATTTTTTTCCAAAATGAAAGGGAAGGGCAGCCTAAGCATGAAAGCTGTGCAATATGCACTAAGTAACTCCCTCTAGGATATCTGTTCATCCATAGACCCTTGTGTTCACTGAAGGATATGTAAATTGCAAACTTATGTACTATGCTGTGCCAGAGACCATGCTGCCTGACACACACCCTTTCTATGTTTAATATTTGCAATGATAAAGGGTTACTATGGTTGCTTTCCTGATGCATTCTAGTGCAGTCTGGGGCTAATGCAAAAAACTTACAACTATGATTCTGAAAAATTAATTTTTCCTCAGTTGTTTCAGTAACATCTTTGGGATTTTCATATAGCTTTGATTACACAGCTGTGCACAATATGGGAAGGAAGTTCTAAATCTTGACTTCATAAAGTATTTTAAGTGCTGAATTATAGTAGTGCATTGTAATAGCAAAATTATTAAAGAAAATTATTCTGAGCTGATGCTGCCAGAGACAGCATGATTTAATGTTTTCCTCTTGTAACTGAAGTTTGTAGCCTTTAGCTCAGTGAAAATAACTATTTCAGGTTTGGACTATCTGTAACAGGTTGAGAGCATTCTTCTTAACTCTGCAGGGAGTCAGCTCAGTGCCTGTCACATACTTTGTTCCTGCTAAACCATATGGTCTATCCTACATTGACTGAGGGTTACAGCTATGATCTGCTTGTTCCCAGAGAACGGCTCTGTATTACAGAGATGCATGCTATTCTATTAGTAATTTTAATATTTCCAGGGTTTTTTTGGTCATAGAACTAAATAAATGAACTTTCTATAGAAGAAATATTGTGCTAAGTACTTGAAATAGCAAACATGAGGATAAAATGCAGTCATAGGGTTTAAGACTAGGAGGCATCATTATAATTGCTTAATCAGAGTCCTGACATAGATTTTGATACAGTAGTTGCAGCCTCAAAGCTTTCGATTCCTGAGTAAATAGGTATGCTTTTCATAAACTCTCAGTTTTACCAAAAAGGCTTACAAAATTATATCTACCACATTTCTACTTCACACCGCCTTATTTTGCCTTGGTATGATACCAGGGTGGGCCAAATGGGGGTCCATAAGCTAGACCCAGCTTAGGAGACATTTCCATTCAGGCCATTACCGTGTACTTTGAGAAAAGAAGGAGTAGCCAGTGTCTTGCAGGAGAATGTTTTCAACTGACAACGTACTGGCAGCTCTCCTCTCTCTGTGCTCTGGCATCTTGATACGTGGTCGCAAGCACAGGATCCAGAAATATAGCACAGGCTAGTATGTTATCCAGCACCTTCTTTCCCTTTTCCTTGCCTCTATCATAGCTGATCTTTATCTTTACCAACACAGATATCACAGCCTGCGAATCAGAGGAACGATTATTTCACAAACTCTTCTCCCAGTATAACCAGTTCATCAGGCCAGTGGAAAATGTGTCTGATCCTGTGACAGTGTATTTTGAAGTGGCCATTACCCAGCTTACAAATGTGGTAAGACTCATTACAGAATACTGCTGAGATTTAGGGGTGGTTGCAAACACACATAGATTGCTGAAGCAGGAGATGTAAATTGTGGTGGCTCAACGCACCCACAACTCTCCTGGCTGACATGTCACGTGTGCCTAAGCATACATGCTGAAACCTTCACTGTTCTTTCAGTCAGTCAAGTTGCTCAAACAAGCCGTTCAAACAACACATACTCATTTGCCTGCCTTGAGACATCCTCCACACCAGGAAGCAGCCTCCAGTGCCCAGAGGAGCAGAACTGAATGTTTGAGCCCACTATCCACAAGGCTATCCCACTCCAGAGACACCTGGTGTCTCCATGTTGTGCATAGCATGTGACCAGGTCTCCTGTGGGGCTGCCTTCATTTCCCAGTGGTCCTGAGGGGTTGAATCTTCTCCATTTTTGGATGCATTTTTTCAGTCTGTTTCAAATATCATGAGCAAAATGCAGCTGCAGTAAAGTGTTTTAAATTGTGGAGGTGAGGATGACACTTGTTCTGGGGTACACTGTACAGAAGGGTAAGCGTGTCTGAGGTGGCAGATCTGCTGGGCAGGACAGAGGGACTGTGGAGGAAGCAAAACCTGACCTTAACCCCTGCTGAAATCTCTCTGAGAATAAAACTATCCACAGAACAGAGTTTTGATTCTGAAGTATCTGTTTGACTCCATAATGAAGCAATAGGAAAACAGCAACATTCAACAGGAGCCAGGGAGCTAAGTGGTCTGAGACCATAACTGCAGGCATTTTAAGTCCTCCTGGTGAAGGCATTGTCACCTTTCAGAGTTCCTCTGTTGATGTATTTTGTTTCATTGTTACAGGTAGCTTGGCAGGTTTCTACAGTTCTGTCTCAAAATGCAACCTCTGGCTACTAGTGCTGTCTTAGAAGAAAAAATTGAATATCATAAGTAAATCAGTTGGATTTCCTCAAGAGTGATGGTATTTACAGTTTAGACAGTTTAGCCCATAGACAGGAACCCTACTGGCCTTTCAAAATTGTCTGTGTACTTAAACTTCAGTATGCAATGTTGAAATTTCATCTACAACATTTTATACCTTTGGCTTGTAAATACCTTAATTTTTTTGAGTCTTTATGCTTAAAAACCAAGAACTACCTGGAGCAATATTGCAGATATTTTCATTGTGAATCTCAGCCTGCAATCATATATATATATATATACCTGTAGTGTGAGTATTTCTGAGTACTTTCAGGCTGAAAGCTGATTAGAACAGGATCCAAACTTATGTTTGCATCTCTTGCAGCACCTTCCTGATTCATCACTGATTGGCAATAGCAATAATCAACTGTATTAAAAAGGTCTCTGTACAATAGTGACAATTAGTGCTGCTTGAGTGCATCTGCTCTAGAGGTTTGCATAGAAATTCAAGAACACTGTGATACAGATACCATTTTCCTTGCATCTTGGCCAGTTCTGTACTGTGTAGTCAGAGCTTTTTAAACGCTGAATCCAACAAAATACACAGCCACCAGAAGAACCTTATTCCTCTGGTACTGGTCAGAGCAATTCTACATTTTGTGGTCTCCAGGTACTCAGGACTCTGACAAAAGAGTACCGCTCTTTGTATGTCTGATATTTATTACAGCATGATTTTTCAGCAGAGCTTTAAAAATTTTTCAGTAGAGCTGCACACGACTGTGCACAATACGTAAGCTCCTCGAAAGTAGCCCAGAAAAAAGAAATCTGATATCAGTTAATGTGGAATTCTAGTTTCCATTTTTATGCACTAAGTTTATGGCCATCTCAGGATACTGTAACTGGTTATGCCTGTGGTTTTTTTAGGATGAAGTCAACCAGATTATGGAAACAAATTTGTGGCTTAGACACGTAAGTGACTGTGTTGCACTTCTCATGCATTTTGCATTGGTCTGATAATATTTGTGTTACCTTGTAAGTTACATCTATAGAATAAGTGTTTGTTTTGTAACAAGGATTTTAAAGGATGAATAAGGAGAAGCTCCTTTAACCAAAGCCACAATTTAAATAGTCATTTCTTCATTCTTATTTCCAAGAAGTTACATCTGCCTTCTTTCCTGTGTAGTATATTCTGCTCCAGCTTCATAATCACTGGATTTTTTTCCTGGTAAATCTAACTGGATGTTCCCATTAAAGAGTAACTAAATATGTAGCTCTGCAGTACTAGGTCATCCCCATCAAAACATTTATTCATAAAAGGAACATGCCTCTATTTTTCCTGATAGTTTTAGCATTTTTGCATAGACAAAGATCCAGACAGAAACTAAACTGCTGAGAAAATATAGCTGACTTATACCAAATCCAGTTTTCTTCAGGCACTGATTGTGGTCCACACAAAGTTTTCTGTAAAAGATACTGTACTTATTATCAGGATCTTCAGGGCTGGCAGAGAGCTGCTGTGCATCCTTCCCTGCCCTGGCTTCGTATTTCGCTACTCCTGTGGAACCAGTAATGTCCTCTGGCAGCAGCTGCATTTTAGTGTGAGTACATACATCCTTTCTCATTAGGATGATGGTCTCCTTTGGTGCTGTCCTCCTCTAACCTGTGGGGTGCAGCAGCAAGGCCCATCTTTTCTCTCTGCAGTGGAAAGGTAACCTTTCACAAAGTCTTTACTGATGTAGCAAGACAAAGGGGAGATATCAGCAGGTCAGCAGTGTGTAACAATTGGCAGCACATGCCCTCACAGAGAACAGAGTAACAAATCAATGTAAGCAGTATTCATATATGTCCACTGTTTCTCCAGGTCATGGTCTTGTTGTCTTTCGGACCGTTGTCCTCTCCTGCACATGTTGCACTTTCTGTCTTTGTCATAGCCTGCATTTTACAGGAAGATCTGAGGTACAGATATTTGCTGATAATACAAGGTATTAAAATCCTTGTCCATTCTTTCTTCAGATTTGGAATGACTACAAACTGCGATGGGATCCCAGACAATACGATGGCATTGAATTTGTTCGTGTACCAGCAGATAAAATTTGGAAACCGGATATTGTCTTGTATAATAAGTACGATGAGTACTTCTTCGTTTTACCCTTTCTCTCAAAAGTGTCCTCTTGCAGTGCCCCTGAAAGACATTTTTCTTTCATGGTAATTTTCTTTTCTTTGCCTTGTTTGTCTTTCTAGTGCTGTGGGAGATTTTCAAGTTGAAGGCAAGACCAAAGCTCTCCTTCGCTATGATGGAATGATCACCTGGACCCCACCAGCTATTTTTAAAAGCTCCTGTCCTATGGATATTACCTTCTTCCCATTTGATCATCAGAACTGTTCACTCAAATTTGGCTCATGGACCTATGACAAAGCCAAAATTGATCTTCTGATCATTGGATCCAAAGTAGATATGAATGACTTCTGGGAAAATAGTGAATGGGAAATAGTTGATGCTTCTGGCTACAAACATGACATCAAATATAACTGCTGTGAGGAGATCTACACAGATATAACATATTCCTTTTATATTCGAAGATTGCCAATGTTTTACACCATAAATCTGATCATTCCCTGTCTTTTCATCTCATTCCTGACTGTGTTAGTTTTTTACCTGCCATCTGACTGTGGTGAGAAAGTGACCCTTTGCATCTCTGTGCTCCTTTCTTTGACTGTGTTTTTACTGGTGATCACAGAAACAATCCCATCTACCTCTTTAGTAATTCCCCTAGTAGGTGAATATTTACTCTTCACTATGATATTTGTGACTCTGTCAATTGTCATCACAGTGTTTGTCCTGAATATACATTACAGAACTCCAACCACACACACAATGCCCAAATGGGTAAAAACTGTCTTTCTTAGCCTGCTCCCCAAAGTCCTGTTGATGCAGAGGCCACTAGAACAGCAGAAAAAAAATACTTCCAAAAAACCCAAGAAAGTATCTGACAGTAAGTCAGGCAAGTCAAAGAACAGCAAACACAGAGATACCAAATTACACAAGGAGCAGATATGCAGTCACTGTGAAAAGGCAACTGAACTCACTACTCCCAAAAGACGACTGAGCTATCAGCCACTGAAATGGATGGCAGAAGACATGGAGTACTCTGCAGAGGTGAAGGATGTCATCAGCAATGTCCAGTTCATCGCAGAGAACATGAGGTCTCAAAATGAAACCAAAGAGGTAAGGGAGGAAACCATCCTGTTAGGGATTGTTTTGACTGCACTTGAAATCAATGATGATGACAAGACTGAGTGCCTATGGATAAAGATCAGTGAAGAAGGTCAGCAGGACAGATGTTCTGGTAGGAGTCTGTTACAGACCACCTAGCTAGGATGAAAAGGCAGATGAGGCATTATACAGGAGGCTGGAAGAAGTATCACAATCGCCAGCCCTTGTACTTGGGGATTTCAACTTGCCAGATGTCTGCTGGAAATACAGCACAGCAGAGAAGGAGGTTCCTGGAGTGTGTGGGTGGCAGCTTCCTGACACAGCTGGTGAGCAAGCCAACTAGGGAAGCTGCCCCACTGGACTAGTTGTTTTTGAACAGAGGAAGACTATTGGGGGATGTGATGGTTGAAGACTATCTTGGGCACAGTGACCACAGAATGATAGTTTCAATTTTTGGTGAAGTTAGGAGAGGTGCCAGCAGAACTGCCACCTTGGACTTCTGGCAGGCAGACTTTGGCCTGTTTAGGAGATTAACTGGCACAGTCCCTTGGGAATCAGTCCTGAAAGGGCTAAGGAGTCCAGGGAGGCTGGATGTGCTTTAAGAAGGAAATGTTAAAGATATGGGAGCAGTAAGACAAGCTGCTGGGGAAGAAACATGTGCAGGCAGACTTTGGCCTGTTTAGGAGATTAACTGGCACAGTCCCTTGGGAATCAGTCCTGAAAGGGCTAAGGAGTCCAGGGAGGCTGGATGTGCTTTAAGAAGGAAATGTTAAAGATATGGGAGCAGTAAGACAAGCTGCTGGGGAAGAAACATGTCCTAGTTAAACAGAGAACTTAGGCTGGAACTCAGGGGAAAAAAGAGAGTGTATCACCTCTCGAAGGAGAGACAGGTGACTTAGAGGGACTACAAGGATCTTGCAAGGTTATGTAGGGAGAAAATCAGAAGGATCAAAGCCCAACTGGAACCCAATTTGGCCACTGTGGCTAAAGACAACAAAAAACTGTGGCAACAAAAGGTGGGTCAAGCAGTGTCTTCATCCTTTGCTGGATGCAGAGGGTAGCATCGTGTCAGAGAATGAGGAAAAGGCTGAGGTACTTGATGCCTTCTTCACCTCAGTCTTTATTACCAAAACTGGTTGTCCACAGGACACCCAACTCCCAGAACTGGAAGTTAGTGACAGGGAGCTGAGTGAAACCTGCCATAATCCAGGAGGAAATCGTTAGTGACTTGCTATGCCAATCAGACACCCACGAGTCTATGGGCCCAGATGGGATACACCTGAGAGTAATTAGGGAGCTGGCAAAAGAGCTTGCCAAACCACTTTACAGCAGGTCACTGGTGCTGTTCCCCAGGGCTCAGTATTGGGGCTAGTCCTGTCTAATATCTCTATCAATGACCTGCCCAAGGGAATTGAGTGCTCCCTCAATCAGTTTGCAGATAACGCCAAGCTGGATGAGTGCAGATTTCCTGGAGAATAGGAAAGCTCTGCAGAGAGATATGGATAGGCTGGATCAATGGGCTGAGGACAATGGCATGAGGTTCAGTAGGACAAAGTGCCAGGCCTTGCACCTGGGATGTAACCACCCCATGCAATGCTACAGTCTTGGGGCAGGGTGGCTGGAAAGCAGCCCAGCAGAAAAGGACCTGGGGGTGCTGGTCCACGGCTGACTAAACATGAGCCAGCAGTGTGCCCAGGTGGCCAAGAAGGCCAATGGCACCCTGGCCTGTATCAAGAATAGTGTGGCCAGTGGGACTAGGGAAGTGATCATCGTACTTGTACTTGGTACTGGCAATGCTACACCTTCTGTACTCTGTTCAGATTTGAGTCCCTCACTTCAAAGGCATTGAGGTGCTGGAGCATGTTCAAAGAAGGGCAACAAAACTGGTGAAGCATCTCAAAAATACGTCCTGTGAGGAGCAGCTGAGGGAGCTGAGGTTGTTTAGTCTCAAGGAGACTTGAGGGGAATCTCATTGCTCTCTATCTGAAAGGAGTTTGTAGTCTCTTCTGCCATGTGTTAAGTAAAAGGATGAGAGGAAATGGCCTTAAATTCCACAGGGGAGGCTCAGATTGGATATTAAGGGGGAAAAAATTCATTGACAGTGTGGTTAGGAACTGCAATAAGTTTCCCAGGGAGGTGGAGTCACTATCTCTGGAAGGGTTCAAGAGGTGTCTGGATGTGGCACTTGGGGGTGTGGTTTAGGACTGATTATGGTGGTGCTGGTCTGATGATTTGACTAGGTGATCTTGAATGTCTCTTCTAACCTTGATGATTCTGTGATCCAGCTGGACATGGGGCCACCCTTCCAGCAAGTGAAAACATGATCTAGGAGTGCAGCACAGAGGAACTGTAGTTGTTGAATCTAGAGAATAAAACTTTTATACCTGTGAATGGGTCAAGGTTTCCTATAGAAATAGAGGAGATAAATGATCCATTGGGAATGGAACAAGAAAGTATTCTCACCTGTTCTTCATCTATGTCCAGTGGATAATTTAAGATGGAAAACAGTTTTAGAATAGATGTAAGGTTCACCCTTCAAAGGAAAAGGGAAGGAGCATTAGCTTGGTGAAACCATAAGGAATGAACTTTTTTCAGCAGTGAATCCTGCCATAGGACAGGGTACAGATTATACAGGACCTTCCAAGGTCTCTTCCAGCCCTACTTCTGTAGATCCTAAGAAGCAACCCTCCTCCACTGCTCAACACCTGCTCAGCCCTGGTAAGCAGTGACATTGCAATACTAAGTGTGCTATTTGCAAAGTAGGGTACTGTTCTGTGTTAGCAAAGGAACAAACAAACTTGAGAACTACTTTTTAAAAAAACAGAGCTTGTCTGGCAATGCAGCAGTTGATCTGGAGAAGAATTATTCTCAGCCAGTGATAAATCCAGCAAAGAGAATCCATTCAGAATGCTGTTCCTTGTACTTTGTTTCAATCTGATGTGTTCCTTTTCCTTTTTCACAGTGATTTGACTAATTCTGGTTTCAGCAATACAGTATTTTCAGCCATGACAAACAAATATTGTAATAAAAGTTGAGTTTTGGGGGAAGACAACTGAATAAAAGCAGAGAGATAAAAATAGATCAATTGAAAAAACAAAGGGAGGTGGTGGTAAGAATGAGACTTGGCATTTGAACTAATGGATTTGCTTGTGTGAGGTTATAAATCTTTCATCCTAACTGGAATCACTGTCATAGAAAATGATGCACATTGGAATTTAGAGAATTTTAAAGCCATAGGTGTAAACACAAACAACTAAAAGCAGCTGCAGGGAAGATTATCTGACATCCCCCCAAATCCAGACCTCATAAGGAATAGGAATTCTCTGACATTTCAAAGTCTTCTTAAAAGGTGTTTAAAATGCAGTGAAACAAACATCTTCGATCTGTCATGACATTTTTACTTTTGGCATTGAAGTTTTTAGATACCCTATGATGGCAAAATCCATTTCAAAACTAAATGCTGCTGTATTTGTATTGAAAACCACAAAAACTTTGTAATGGAATGTTTAGACATCTACTTTCAATCAGAATATTTTGTTGAAATTCATGCAACTTCTGCACAACCCAAGCATTACTTATTTTCCCTCTTTTTTTGTATGCCCTGCAGAAGTTTCATCTGAAAACAAAGTCCATAACTTTCTCAATAAAGGTTTACAGTTAAGGCTGGTGACTGAATTCATAGGATGAGTGGGTATTACATGCCAGCCCAAAGCAAGACAGGAATCTATTGGCATAGAGGAGGATCAGGATTGAGCTGAGCCTTGCTTAGAACCTGTGCCCTTAGTGTTTTGCTTGACCCAAACATTTCAGCTCTGCTTTCACTGGCACACCAGCTGCATAAAGCATATCCCTGTACCATATTCAGCTGATTTCACCAAGGCACTCTGAAAAAGAAGAGGCTTTGCATGAAGTCATCTGAATAACATGCCGTCTTGATTATACAGCTCATGAGAAGTCTTCCATTGCCAGTTTTTCAGATTTGCATTTTGCAAATCACTCCTGCCGCATGAAATTACTTTCTTAGTCTAGTGTGTGCATCAGCAGCTCTGTTTCTCACCTTTCAAAACATACTGGGGATAGGAAGCAGGATTTTTCACTTACAAAAATCCTCTCTTTGGAGAAAAAAATGGGGTTTGTTCTTAGGCAAACACTGAGGATATTATTCTGGAGGCTGCTTCTGCTTCAGCTAGACATACAAAGCAATATGGGTGATATCATGCACTAGTCCTGTATAAATAAAAGCCCTTTAAAAATGTGCAGCTGGAGTTCTTGCCACATTTTCTTTCATGCAAAGTATAGCAGCAGCATCTTGGATGAAAATATCATTAAAGTGTGAAAGCAAGTGAAGATCATTCAACAGAAAGCTCTTAACCCGTCCCTAGTTTTCTATGAGTGAATGTTCTTTCAATGCAGTGATCATTGTATGTAGGTACAGTTCAAAGAACAGCAACTTCATTGAACGTTGTTCTAAGGTCTGTCTCTCAGACATACAAAATCCACTCTGTCCTGCTTAGCACAGGACACTATAGCTTGATCAGTCAGGGCTCTTACTTTGCTGCAGTCTGTGTGTCCAGTTGTCCACTTTTCTGAAATCAGTGGGGCTTGACTGGTATGACAGTGTATCAAATCAGGCCAGAATAGCAAACTGTCTCTTGTGTGGGCTGTCAGGATAAATCTTTTGACAGGGTCTAGTGATGTGCAGCTGTAGCAGTGGTGCCTGCTCTTAAACCACCCCACCCTGCACCCCTCACATAATCAGGTCCTATTTGTTAATGTCACCATCACAGCCATAGTTTGGCAGCAGACTTGAATATTTAGAAGAATTCAGTGGGCTAGGACAGCGTTGTATGTTCTCAGCCAGAAGTGGTAAAATACTACTAGAAAATCAGCCCACTCTAAAGAGACTAGAGAACTGCAGCAACTAGTAAGCACAACAAGCAACATTCCTGACCATTCTTCACATTCAGAATTACAAGGGACTGCATAATGTCAACTTGCAATTGCATGCAATGTTACATATAGTTTATCCTTTTATTTTTTTTCTCTTGCAGGTGGAAGACGATTGGAAATATGTAGCTATGGTGATAGACAGAGTATTTCTCTGGGTGTTTATAATCATTTGTGTGTTTGGGACTGCGGGGCTCTTCATCCAGCCGCTAATAGCAGACACATTAAGTTGATCCACTGCTTTTTGCCCACTTTTGTTCTTGTTTCATTTTTGGTTCAGAACTTTACATAACTCCTCTTACATAACCCCTCTGCTCCTCACCTCCTCAGCACCTAGCCACAAAGGATTACAATCAATAGAGCATGTTTATGTTTGAAATCAAACAGATCTTAAGCACTTCATCATAGTTGAAGAAAAACTGATTTAATAATAGAATGTGGTTACCGTGTGAAGCATCCACATTTCAAACCTACATGCTTCTAAAATCTTTTAAAAACTAGTTCATCTGCCACTTAGCTTTGCATGTGACTTAAGTTCCCTTTAGTTCCTAATACTGAATACCAAAACCTTGATGAGCTTCAGTATGATTTCGAAGCCACATCTCTCCCATCAGGTTAACAGTGGTCTTAGTCCACAGGTTCTGCTCTGAAAACTCTTGCTTGCTCAGGCTCAGGCATAAACCCAACAGGGAAAGGTTTGTTCCTGGGTAGCTACTCATAATGGACAGAATTGGCTTGACAGCATTGGACTGATCTGTTTTCCTGCTTTTAAAACCGAAGATTACAAACATCTCAGCAGAAGAAGGTGGGATACCATGAGACCTGTGTAAAGCCAAGCACCTTGGTTCAAACAGCTGAGCAGCAATGTTCTGTTTGCTGGTTCCTCATGGGTCAGTGCTGTGTATGCAAATCTGTAACTGCAGGGACCCTTCCTTTGGGGCTGAGGTGGCCTCTGAGTAACCAGGTTCCTAATCTTAGTGTGCTTAATCCTGAAACACTTTGCAGATTTGCACCTGATGTGGTTTCTCTACTATGTGGATGGTTTACCCTCAGGTCCTTTGTCTGTTTATATTCCTGTTGGTTTTGTGCTGAAGGATTCTTCTTTAAGAGTCACCACTCCAATTAAGTCCAATGGCATCAAGAGTACAAAGCCCTTCCCTCTTATAGGAGCTTCTAAATTTAACTGCACAGTGTCAGTGCAGTGTTTTCAGTCTCTGCTCTGAACATCACCAGTCCTTGGAAAGTATGACTCCCTGTTTCTGAAGTCACTGACTGGCCTTTTACTCTTTTTTGATGCTCCATAATAAAGAGAAAAGGACTGAAAAAATGTACATGTTAGAGATGAAGGTGGAATGACAAGAATATAACTGTCTTAATCCATCAGTTGAAATATGTAAAGTCGTGATTTTCTAGAAGAAAACTATATTTTCTGTAATATCCCTGCATGTTGCATAATTATGTAGTGACTGACAGATGTATGAACAAGCATGGTTTATTTTGTCAGCCTGTCAATTAAATATCACTCCTGAGATATACTTTCTTAAAGAATTTGTGTTGGGTTTTTTTAGCTCCCTGCTGTGTGTTTATAGGTGCTACTAAATGCCAGTTAATGTTGGGGCTCTTAAATCAGACAGGAAGTGAGGGGGGGAAAAAGGAAATTTGAAGAGGAGAGCTGCATTCTGAGCCCAAAAGCTTCATTTCTACAGAAAAGACATCTATCTGACTGCCAGCATTCACTGTTGCACTCTATGAGAATCCAAATGCTGAAACTATTTTGGCTGATGGTGTCTTAAGCATGATGGTTTAGAATTATTGACCCCACAGTCAATAATCTGACTTCAGCTAAACATCTGACTTTTTGTCAAAGCATTCACAGTTGTACAGCTCTTAACCTCCAGTTAGGAGGCCTCTGTGCCCCAGCATCACCTTCCTATCTTTGTCATTTGCAGCACTACTCATATCTCTGTCCTGCCCCTGGACCTCAAACATAGGGTTTGGGCAGCTTAACTCATCAGACTAAGAAAGCGGGACTACAAAGTCATGTTCTGTCTCCTTCTGAGTGTACTGTTTTCCTCTCCTTCCCTCCACTCAGTAACTTCTGGATCTGTCTTTTGCCATTTTCAGCTGTGATTGGCACATTCAAGACTGGGAGCCCTTTGTATTCCTGTCAGCTTTATGAAAGTAGTTGACTGATTAGAGAGTGTGGGGATGGGGGACATGATAAGCATGTCACCTTGGAAAAGGTGCAGTAGAGACCCTCTCTGAGCAGACATGGAATAGCCCACACAAAAACGAAATTTTTGCTTGCCCCAGCTCTTGTTGGGGGACCTTCTAACTGAAATAACAAGAAAAGCTACCACTAGAGCTGATGCCATCCCAGATGTTGACTTCAGTCACACGTTGTGCACAGCCACAAGAAAAGTACCCATGGTGATTGCAGGGCACACAGAGTGATGTGTCTGTTCTCATCCCATTAGCTCCAAAGCCACAACAACACCACCCCTTATTATATATCCCGGTTAACCACTGGCAGCAAGAATTCTCCTTTCCTTGAGAGTGATGGCATCTATGAATTAACTTTAAAAGCACAGAAGCAGTTTGAGAGTTCAACCCCTCTTTGCATTTTCTTCCCAAGGAAGACTGTTTTTCCACTTTTCCCCCACTAAAAGGCCAAGAGGAATTTGTCATACTAATCCTTTTGTGAATGGATGATACACATGGTCTTACCAGGCAGTGCCAAGGCCCTAGCAAACCAGTGCCCACATGTTGAGACAGTAAGGCAGAGTCTGGCTGATTTTTTAAGATTTGCAATTTGCACTGTTGTCATCCACAGGCCGAGCACGTGGAGCTGAGGGAAGGCCCCCATTGGAGGACTCTTTGCCCAAATGTCCTCCCTAGTTGTGTTTTTAGTGGCAGGCCATTCTGTGGAACATGCTGGATGCTGTTGTGGGCCAGCGGCAAAGAGATTCAGGGAAGCTCAGGAACAGTCAGCACAAGGGAAGGAGTAGTGAGACTACAGATGTAGCAGTCCCAGACACAATGCCTGGAAGACTGGAGGCCAAAAGCCATATGTGTACAGTGCACATACATCTCCCACTCCAATTGCCTGAGCACTGCTGACCTTTACCAGCACAAGCCAGAAAAAGCAGGCTGGCATTAGACACAGCCGTGTCAGACACAGCCATGTGTTGTCTGCGGGTGGGCAACCAAAATATTGCAAGGTGAGGACAGGACCATCTGTCCAATAAAAATCTGAAGCACTTGCCCAGGAGAGGAGGTTGTCATCTGTCATGGCTAATAGGCAGTCTCTTGGCAGCAGCACTCAGAGGGAATACCTATCACTACTTGATTTCAAGAGTCTGTAAATAATGGGAAGAAGACCTTCCTCACTGTTTTCCTATGGATATTTCACAGCACTGGCCAGAAGAAGAAATGCACTTACTACAAGAAGAGAGGAGTAGCTGGTAGAAAGGTCATTGTGTATGAGTTTTATACCAGTGTCTTATATTAAGACATCTATCTGTATATGCTAAACTAAATGGATTTGTTCTAGGTTCCTGCAATATAATAACCAGATCTGAATGCTCCTTATTTGAACTCATATACAGTGCTAAGTTATGAGGCCACTCCAAGAATATGATAACCCCTCTGTTTGAATAGATTTGAGTCAAGGCTCTTAAAATGGGTCACAATCTAACTTTGTTGACAACAAATCCACAACAAAGCCCAGGGTATGAGCACTCTCACCCCAGGAATCATGTACTGAATATATCTTTATTAATAATATTTGCACAACTGAACAGAAGTTTCTGCATTGACATAACAAGCTGGGATTATATTAACTCACAGAGGTCTGGCAGAATCCAAGCACACAAATACCTCTATGTATTTTTAACACTTTCTAACTTACATCCCTAGAGAGACAAAGGTTAGCTAAAGTTTTAACATGAGTTTCACATTTAGATTGTCAAAAATTGGATCTCCAGATCCTTTACTAGCCTTATAAACATTTGCACATTCAGGATGTGGTTTTCTAAAGCACTCCCTGTTGGAAGACACAGCCACAGCAAAAGTAGTGAGAGCCTCAACTGTGTTTGAGAGCTTCACCTGTGTGTTTTCTGTCACATCTCACTTATACTTTCAACAGCTCTTTCCTGTCTAAATGAATCAAAGGAATGAAATTCTGAATTACCAAGGAAACATGAACAAGCCAACATCCAAAGATGTATCTTCCCAGTAACCAGCCCACCCCATAACTCTCAGGAGAAACTCCACTCCTGCAGCAACCACAAGTTTCATTTGCCAAAAACAGTGTCTGCCGCTTCCCTCCAACTGTTGGCTTATGGAGTAGCATAGCCACCCTCCTCCAAGCAATATGTTTTTGGTGATCTTCCACTTGTCTTGTGAACTAACAGGCGAATAAATGATAGTTTCTAAATGTGGAGCATGAGGAAAATCCTCACTTGTTCAGCTTTTTGGTACATTACAGAGGAGCGAGCAAAATGGCAAATGATACTGAAGGGTGTGTAACACTTTGTGGCTTCCTGATGACTAAGAGGAGAGACGAGGTGTGCATGCCAGAAAGGCTGGTAGCAGGTGAGCAGTGGTAAGTTCTGCCACTGTTGAGTTGATCCTGCAGCAAGGTGAGGCTAGAAAGTCAAGGTTTCAAATATCCCATCTAAAAAGTATTTGTACTTTTTCTGATGCACATGCTATGCTCCGACACATGCATAAAGCAACCTCTAGAGTCTGTGGTTTTGGAAACATAGATAAACTGAGTACAGATTGTGTTCCTACTGTAACTTCTTTCATAAAGTAGCATTTTAACTGGCAGATCTGCCTTATAAGTATAATCATTGTGCAATAAGTACTCTTTCCAATTTTAACTAATAATCTTGGCTTTTACTGTAATATAACAAAGCTACCAATAAAATAATTATAACCCAGTTGTGCAACCCCAGTTCACTTTATGACTTGGCTGCGCACCAAGCCCTTCTCTGATTTCAGCCAAATCTGTATCTGGTAGAATTATGTGAAGACTGAAAACATGAGCCAATGCCCACCCACTGTTACCAGCACCTTCCCTCATTCTTGGTCTTTCTTCCCATCCTGTACAATGGAGACCAAGCTCAAAGGCGATATCATCCCTTGGCTCTGTACTTGTAGTATGCTACTATGGGAGCATCTTCTATGAGGTGTTGTTCAGCCACATCCGTAATGCAGGGGTAAAGATTAGAACTGAACCCGTCACTGATACCACCAGAAATAACCACAGGAAGATCCGATCCAGGACTTGGGCTACAAATTTCCAGTCTTGTACAACCTGGGAAGGACAGAGAGAGAACAAACACAAACAGTAACAAGTCCAGTACTTTGTTGATAATGCTACATGCATTTCAACTCCCCGAATGTGTTTTTAAGACTAGAAGTTTGTAGCGTGTTGTATCCTAAAACTGACACTGATTGCCTTTTCAGCACTCATAGCTGCAAATCACTCAAAACTCCGAAACAATTCCATAGCTTTATGTACATGTTAATCAGACTTTTCACCCTGTGTAAAAGCTTTTGGCTAAATGCATGTGTGAAAGTTTACAGACTTAAGCTTGAAGATGGCTATATAATGAATTGTTTTTCTTTCCACAGAACTGCATTTAACCTTGAACTGCCAGGACATGGCTCTGACACAGCACTTGGGCACAGGCATTGCTTCCAGCACATGTGATCTGATTTGCTTTTGTTTGCTTAAGTGCTGTGTGGACTCAGATTGGGTGCATTCAGGAGGGGAATTTTGAATTGTGAGTCTGGGCACAACCCTGCACACACAAAAGTGCCATTCATTAAAGCAATTCAAGGGAGTTATTTTATTTAAAATTATTTCAGCTTCAAACAAAAGCATTATTCATGGACACTATGTGGCATATTTGATTTATTGTTCTTTCTGCCAAAGTCCTCTCAGCACAGTTTGAACAAAGCTTGGAGGGTGCTACCAGAAGTTTGCCTCTTTCCATATGCTGCTAACTGCATTGGTCTGCTATCTTACCCTTGCATGAAAGGCATTGTTTACACATACAGTAATTTGCCATTTTAATAGCCAGGTGGATCATTGGGAAGAGAAGGATTGTAGCTGAGGCTAATCTGTTGCTATAATGTTATCAAAAATCTCAAAGACCTCCACTCAAAACAGGGCAACAATTCTGTGTATAGTATGTGCTGGAAGACCAGGACTGACACCTAGCAACTGCCGTAGAGCCTGCCTGTGGTTGTTGTGAAAGTTACATTTTTCAGAGCATATGACAGTTCAGAGGCTTCCAGATTCATGTCTATCCCAAATTTACTCAGGACAAGGTTATTCAAATAACCCCAAAAATAGGAATTCCTCCAGGAGAAGCTGTTGTGGCCTCTTGCGTCTGTGAAGAGCAGAAACACTCACAGCATGATACACCTCTTGAAGCAAAGTGTTGATTGAAAAAAGCCATATTATTATCAAGGTCTGAGGAGGAAAATAGATGAGAGCAGGAGGAAGACGCAGAGGGAGAGGCATGCAGAAAAGGAAAGATCTTGTAAGCCACTGCTGTCAAGGAAAAACCTTCCTCGCCCTCCCTTCACCTACCTGTCTGATGAAATGCTCCTTCTTAACGTGCCTGGAAATGTACCGAATGGAGTCAGCTGCCTTTTCCAGAAAGGCAATAACAATTTTCTCTCCATCTTTTGCTTGCTTGTATTTCTGCTTCCCCAGGAACTTTGATTTCAAGGTGGTTCCCTTTTCTTCAGTCTCTGAGAAGGAGTAACGATCTACATGGCCCTTCATGCAGAGCAGCCGAGGCAACTTCTGGAGGAAGAGTCTTTTAACCCAGGGAGCCATGGGATGGTAAGTTGCTGAAGAGCGTTGGAGCGGTGGTGTACGTTGATAACAAACACAGTCACGATGATAGAGAGGGTCACAAAAATCATGATGAAGAGCAGATACTCACCAATCAGAGGGATGACTTTGGAAGAAGAAGGGATTATTTCCTCAATCACTAAAAGGAAAACAGTGAGGGAGACTAGTACTGATGTAGACAATGAAAGCTTTTCCCCTTCATCTGAAGGCAGGTAAAATACCAGGACAGTTAGAAAAGACAATCCCAGGCAAGGGATTATTAAGAAAAGAGTGTAAAAGAGCGGAAGGCGTCTCAACACAAAGGAGTACGTGACAAATGGGTAAGAGTACAGCCCATCCTTCCTGTTGCCTTTCATTCCTTTGGCGTTTAAGATCTCCCACTCCCCATTATCAAAGAAGTCTTTCCTGTCTACATTTTCATCCACTAAAATCAAGTCCACCATATTGCCATCATATGTCCATGACCCAAACTTCATGGAGCAGTTCTGCCTGTCGAAGGGGAAGAAGGTCACATCCATTGTGCAGGAGCTCTTATAACTGGCCGGTGGTGTCCAGGTCACCACTCCATTGTACTTCACTATGGCTTTGGTCATCAGGGATCCTTCAAAACGTCCGTCAGCACTGGGATTTGGACAGGAAGAAACAGTACCAAGTTCAGGACTATGTTTGCTCCATCCTACCCTTTCTCAGCTCTCCTTTCTATCCCTCACTTGGAGCACAAAGGAAGCCAACATTCATACTACCTAAATAAGAGCCTTCTGACAGCACATACAAGCTTCACAGTGGCTCACATGCTTTGCCCAAGCTCTGGCCTAAGTGTAGAGCAAGGAGCCATGCTACTCACTTTTCAAACAAAACAATGTCAGGAAGCCACAGAGACTCAGAGGGGACACGGATAGCGGTGATCCCACCATATTCCTCCGGATTCCAGGAGAGCTTGTGGTCAATCCATTCCTGTAATTAGACAGCAGAATCCTCTGCCCACTCACATGCAGCAGCCTCATTCTTCCTCCCAGCCCCTGACTCAGGGCAACTGCACACACATCACAATGGGCACGGCTTGGTGTAAGGCTGCTCAGTTGCAGAGAGGATGTCAGAAGGGCATGGCTGGGGGATGTTGATCTCCACAAGCACTGCCCCTCCAGACACAGGTGGGACCCAACAACCCATTCCTATGCAGACAACCTCAAGGCAGGCACTCCTGGAGAGTACTTCACTCTCACTTCACTCACCACACTGCACAGCCCACCTGAGGGTCGTCCAGAAGGAAGGAGCCACTTCCTTTTGGCACAGCACCGCTCCTTCCCTCTGAGAACCAGCCCATGATAGCTTTGGATGGCTCTGACTTCACAGAAGATCCAGGTGGTATAGCTACTACTACTCAGGTGACAGAGAGGTGGAGTATATTTACTTTTCAGTAAAGACCTGTCTTTTTACAGTGAATGGAACACAACAACTAATATCTGTATACAGTCCTTGCAAAAAAAAATTTGTTCTTTCATTAGAAAGGCCTGCACACTATTGCAGGAAGAAGAATACAGTGCTACTGTAAAGCATTTGGTTATGAAAGCAGAGAGAATCCTGTCCATTTGCATCATACTGAGCTCTAGAATAATTTTTCTCTCCTCTTTTTTTTTTCAGATGAGGAGATTATAACAAAGTGGCTCCAGCAACCTGGAGATTTCCACAGAAATGCAATGGAAAAGCAGCTCTCTAATCCCTGTTCATTATTGATGAGGGTTTTTACTTGACCACAGAAATAGCAGTGAGATGATGCAACAGCTGTAGACTGTGGTCAATACCAAGAGGGAGGAGATGAACCACTTTCCATTAAGCTCCAGCAGTAAGAGATCTCCAGGGATCTGAAGGCCTCAGTTTTTCCTGGACAATTTCCTCCACGACTTAAGGACGAACCAAAATGTAATATACTGTGGGTTTTTTCCTGACATATTGTTTCCTTCTTGCTTTTTTGATTCCACATGCTTTTCACAGTTATACCTACAGACATTTGGGTTTTCAGTCCTTTGCTGTGTGACAGCAACCCAGAGCCTCAGCAGACACCTAAACACAGACAGGGAGAGCAAACATACTCTTCCTCCAGATCCAGGGAAGGGATGGGGCCCAAGGCCATAGGTAGGGGTCTGGTGGACCCCTCCAAAAATCTGGCACAAGGCACAAGCAAAGGAGGAGGTTGCCCAGGGTGGTACTGTGGCAGAGTTAATGGCCCCACTATCTGCACTAGAAGAGACACAGACCTATTCTCTGAACTGCCCAAATGGCTGGCATTAGCTATCAGGCACAACCCTACAACTCTTGCTCCTCCTACTAAAGTGTAGATGGGAGTTGTTCTGGTGTGGAAAGAGAAGGGGGTCATTGCTGCTCTTAGCATCAGGGACAGAGAACAACACTTTTTGTGTGAACTTTTCTCTGAGGATGGGTATCTAACAGATGTTTCCAGCAGCCTGAGATGTTAAGTGGTCACAAACTCACATATGTCCTGTACACTTCCTGTGATAGGTGCAATGGGGTTTATGCTGGAAATGGACATTATGCAAGAGGATAGTCAGGGCTGACAGCAGCAGCCCACACAGTCAGCTAGTATCCTGAACTCACATAAGAGCAGCAAGTACCCTGGGAGATACCAAGAGATATTATCATCCCTCTGGAGTTGAATTGGAGCAGCCCCTTGGCCTGGGGTATTTGCTGCATCTGCAATACTCCTCACTCCCCCCTGCTCTGCATTGATTTATCTCCCAGCTAAAGTGCTCTTTCATGCCTGCAAGGCAAATGGTCATGCCTCTTCTTACTAGAGCAGAAAACAGGTTGTGTGCAGACTGTGAAGATGAACAGTTTAAAACAGGAATCTCCCTGTGGGGTATGCTCACGTGAACTGTAGCAGCAGATGTGAAAGGCCCTTTCCTCTCTTCTCCCTTTTTTCCAAGCTGCTCCAGACCTTCACATTGCTCTCTCCTTGCTCCACTTCTGCCAAATTCCCATCTCTGTGCTGTCACTCAAGTGCTTAATCCACAGCAAGTGGACCAAGACACAATGGACCCAGATTTTCAACACTTGTTAGTAGACTCCATAGGCTGCCCAAATCCAGATACTTTCTCAGCCATCACTCAAAGATCCTCTGCCCTTTGTGGGTCTGCCTATATGCTCATCAAGTCCCAC